ATTCTTGAAGCTCCCCATTTCTGGTACCCACTGCATCGTTGGGGCAACGATTGGCTTCTCACTGGTGGCTGAAGGGAAAGAAGGTGTCAAGTGGTCTGAGCTGCTAAAGATCGGTAAGTCCAGGTTGTGTGACCATCTGTGCATGTCCTGGGCTTCCCCTTCCAGCAGCGGGATGCTGATCGTGTCTCTTCTCTCCCTAGTGTTGTCCTGGTTCATTTCACCCCTCCTTTCGGGCATCATGTCTGCTATCCTGTTCTTCCTTGTCCGGAGGTTCATCCTCTGTAAGGTAAGGGTTGTCCACCCATTTTCCAACACCTTGGGGCTCCTGGGTGCTCCCTTGTCTGCCCGTTGGACTGGTTGGTTGGCTTATGTGCACCGGAGCTTCTCCAGGCGCATCCGTCCTTGTGGTGACGCTTGAATGAGCCCTTCAGGAGGAGCTGAAGGGATGGGAAGGCTGGACCTGTAGCTGCTCCACAAAGCAGAGTCTGGGAGGTGCAGAGGCTTCACTCAACCTCCTCCAAAACATCTGGACCAGGAGTGTCCTGCCTGGCCTCAGCAGAAACAGCTGCAACTTCCAAGTAGTGAAGTAGCCCAGAATTGATAAGATCAGAGCTCCTTGTCAGGCTTTTCCTAACCCCTGGCCCAAGGCTGGACTTCCTCTTGTGCCAGGCGATGACTAACAGTGTGGCTTTTTTTGAGCCAGGAGGGCCAGAATTGTCCCTGCTGCTGTGGAAACTGCACTTTCCTCCCATCTAGGGCTGTGGATGAACCCTGGGACACCCAGGCTGGCTTCAGGGACACACTCCCACTGTTGGGAGTGTCGGAAAGCCCGAGGAGAGGCATTGGGCACCCAAAGGTGCGATTGGGCTCCCCAAGGTGCTTGAAATGGAGGTGGCAGCTTTAGACCTCATCTTTCTGAGATGATGACGACCCTGGAGTGCAGGATGCTGCCAGCTCAGAGCAGGGGTATCCCACTGGCTGTACAGAGGAACTCCAGCATTTTCTTCTGCACGTTTGGGGTTAACTTAAATTATTTTTGGTCTTAACTCTAACTATTCCCAGTTCAAGAGATGTTAAGATCTTATCGCTGCTGGTTTCCACCTGACAGCCCTTTAAAACAATTCCGTGTCACCGCTGTCAGAGTAACCTTGCGTAACTGGCCTTTCAAAGCTGGGCCGGCCCCGTCACGCTTCCTTCTGGCGCTGAATGGTCCGGCTGCTCCGTCCTGCTCGGTGTTTGGGACCGCTCGGTGTGTTTGTACCGATGCTGGGCCCCAATTGCTGGGCAGCAGTGGAGATTAAGTGCTCCTGCTGCTCGGGCGAGGGCCTCTGTGCAGGTATGTGGTCAAATAAGCTGCTTTGTGAGTAAGGGACTCTTTTTTATTTTGTCCAAGTCAGCTGGAAAGAGGTAAAAAGCTTTGTCTGACAAATGGTTTTGTTTGGAAGAAAGAAATGGTTTCTTGATGAAAGAAAACTTACGTGCAGCTGGAGGCTGGGGACGTCTGCAGGCTGGGGAGCCTCAGGAGGGGTTCCGGAGCCAGGCAGTGCCCGCCTGCGGGCACAGAGATGTTGCAGCCTTGGGACACTGACCTGGTCCTGCCCCGGCTCCCTGGTGAGCCTCACGGGACCCACAGTGTTCTGCCACCTTCTCTACCCACCCCCTTCTCTGACGGTGGCAGCTCCTCACCCACCGCCGTGGGTTGTTCCCGAAGGGCTGTCGGGAGCTCCGGCTTTGGGCAGAGCTTGCAGGGGATCGGTGCTGGAGTCGCTGTCCCCTTTTGGGAAGGGGCCGTGGTGGGGCTCCTCGGCCGCGGTGCAGCCCTCGGTCAGGCTTTCTGCAGCGCTCGTCCTTGTTCTGCAGGTGGATCCTGTTCCCAACGGCTTGCGAGCGTTGCCCATCTTCTACGCCTGTACCGTGGGGATCAACCTCTTCTCCATCATGTATACCGGCGCGCCCTGTGAGTACCCGTCAGAATACTTGAACCTTGATTATAAAATTCTTTACAAAACCTCCATTAAATGCACGATTTACCCCTTTTTTGCTTTACAGGGCTGAAATCTCCTAGAAGGCGGCTGGCCTGTGCTGGTTACGGAAGGCTGCAGGCTAGCGTGCGCTGAGTTCTGGGCTAGATAGTTGCCCAACCAAAGAGACCTGCTCAAATTAAACCCCTCCAGACCTTTCTCCTTAGACTTCCCAGGACTGGCAGATCACATCCCTTCCCCTCCCCTTCTCTTACCTGTGCTAAAACTCAGGTACCTGCCGGTCCGGCTGCCGAAGAGGCTCCTCGGGCTGCCGGTAGTGAGGCTTAGGAGCAGGGACGGAGGCTGTGCCTCCCGATTCCCCTTGTCCCTAAGAATAAACTAATTCTCTCTGGCAAGAGCAGCTGGCACCTGTGTGGAGGAGTTTGTACTGGGGTTGGAAAAGCCAAACTGAAATGCTCGTTTGGCCATTGTGCAGGGGGACGGGTCGCAGGCAGGACTAGGAGAGGGCTTTGGCAGGGGAGAGCGGCTTTGCCTGCGGAGGCGTTTTTTCCAGCCGCCGGAGTGACTCGGCGTGAGCTGTTTTCGGTCTGAGAGTGGGTTTCCTGTTGTGGAGGAGTCACTGGAGGTGGGGTGAGGGCAGCAGTGCTGGCTCTGCAGGGTTTTCTCCATAAACAGTGGCTGGAAAAAATTGTGGAGGGATGTCAGCTTCTCCTTCCCTCGGTTTTCCAGCCCGGGGGAGAAGGCAGAGGGTTGCTGCAGTGCTGCTGGGGGCACTGAGGCCGCAAAGCAGCAGCGGTGCTGCTTGGAGATGGCTTTATGGCTTGGCAGCCCCGAGGTGGGTCCGTGTTTATTCCAAGCCCTCAGCTGCCGGAGGGGCTGGGTGAGCTCCGTGCCGTTGGTAGCCTTCGAGCCAGCTTTGGCGTAAGCAAAAAGCCCAAGGCGTGGGTAAGGCGCTGGGGCGGGGGTGGGG